TCACAATGATGTGATTTTTTTGTTCTTTGACGCAGGATATGATGGCATAGGCTGGTTTGTTTCTTCCATGTGGGTTTTGTTGCTTCTCAGCTAGATGGTCGCTTGTTTATCTTCAAGCCTTTAAGACCTCAGATGCTATCTCTTTTGATAGCCGGGCACTATCAGTTTTCTTCACCACACTTGCTTATACACCCATTTTGTCTTCAGCAATCGTGTCGGGAAGGTGAGCATCATGGAATGCCAGTTTATTTCTATTCTGACAGCACTAGGCAACTAAAACACATAATAGTCAAACGGATCTTTTAAAATTAAGATGGGTTAGTTTCTCCTCTAATCAAAATCCTTTGGATAAAATTTACCATAGTCCTTTATAATTTGGTTCTTGTCCATTTTCTTCAGTAATGAGTCTTAGGTAATCTAGATTTTTTGCTATTTCTTAGCCATGCCAATCTTGTTCCTACCTCAAAACACTTGTACTCACTGTTCCTTCTCTTTGGAATGTTCTTGCGTTTAATTTTCATTTCATTTCTTTCTTAAACATTTTTATATCATTTTATTAGGGGTTCATACAACTCTTATCACAATCCAAACATCCACCCATTGTGTCAAGCACATTTGTACATGTATTGCCATCATAATTCTCAAAACACCTGCTTTCTACTTGAGCCTTGGTATCAACTCCTCATTTTCCCCTCCCTCCCTGCTCCCTCCTCCCCCCTGAATCCTTGATAATTTATAAATTATTATTATTTTGTCATATCTTACACCATCCAACCTCTCCCTCACTCACTTCTCCGTCGTCCATCCCCCAGGGAAGAGGTTATATGTAGACCTTGTAATCTTTTTTAAACATTTTATTAGGAGCTTGTACATGTATAATTACAATTCATAGTTCCATTAGATCAAGCATAGTTATACAATTGCTGGCATCATCATTTTCAATACATTTTCTTTCTTCTTGAACTCCTTGTATCAGTTCCTCTTTATCCCCTCCCTCCCACACCCTACTGTCCCCCTGAACCCTTAATATTATATATATATATATATATATAGCCAACCCTTAATTTTCTGTCTTTCTTTTTTAATTAATCATTTTATTGGGGGCTCTTACAAATCCTACAACAATCCATCACTCAATTATATTAAGCACACTTGTACATATGTTGCTATCAACATTTCCAAACCATTTTCCTTCTACTTGAACCTTTGGTATCGGCTTCTCTTCTTTCCCCCTCCCTACCACACCCTCCCAGCCTCGTGAATTCTTGATCAATTATATTTTATTATTGTTGTTTCGTGTCTTACACTGTCTGTTGTCTCCCTTCACCTCATTTCTTTTATTTGTTCCCCTGGGGGTGGGCTACATATCCAAGGGTTCTGCCTTTTCTCTCCTTTCCTCCCAACATGGCATAGCAAATGTGCTTTGATCAATATTGCTTTTTAACAAATAGTCATTACTTTTGCCAAAAGAAAAAAATTGGGAAGGGAGGGGAAAAAAGACGAGCTGATACCAAGGGCTCAAATAGAAAGTGAAGGTTTAGAAACTGATGATGGCAACATGTGAACAAATATGCTTGATGATACAATTGATTTTTATAAGAGCTGTAAGAGCCCCCAATAAAATGATCTTTTAAAAAAAGAAAGAAAAGAAAAAGATTGACTATGTGACAATTCTATATCTCTATTTTCTTAAAAGGTTCATGCTTTAAAAAAAATAATTTTATTGGGGACTCATACAACTCTTATCACAATCCACACATATATCCATTGTGTCAAGCACATTTGTACATTTGTTGCCATCATCATTCTCAAAACATTTGCTTTCTACTTCAGCCTTTGATATAGCTCCTCATTTTTCCCCACTCTCCCTCCCTCATTAGCCTTTGATAATTAATAAATTATTATTATTTTATTAATTATCAAATTATCCGATGTCTCCCTTCACCCACTTTTCTGTTGTCCATCCCCCAGGGAGGGGGTTATATGTAGATCCTTGTAATTGGTTCCC